ACCAACCAGTCAACGCAAGTTCAGATCTTTACATTATTATTATGTAGACTTAGGAAGCGCGAAGAAAATTATGTTAGCTCACATATAAAGTTAAGTGTGTTGGGCCTTGCACGGGAAGTTTATGGGTGAGAGAGACTCCTAACTATAGATCAAGTGAACAGCAATATTAAGTGGGCTCGGAACACTACAATCAAACTCAAAACCTTAAGATATTAGGTGCATGGGTCATTCACTTATATAGTGTTCACTTAGTCAATTCGTAACCAATGTGAGATTTTTTCACTCAATCATTCACACTTGGAATACCACAATCAAACCCAAAACCTTAAGACATTAGGTGCATGGGTCATTCACTTATATAGTGTTCACTTAGTCAATTCTTAACCAATGTGAGATTTTTTCACTCAATCATTCACACTTGGATTCCTCAACATCTCCCTCCAGGAGAAGCTTCTTCAAGTATTTATGGGGTTTCATCAAGGCTTGGCTACCCACATCAAGACATACTCGGATCATCAGAGGCCAATCCACCATTAGCTCTGATACCAATTGTTGGGTCGTGCACGGGGAGCTCACAGAGGGGAGAAACCGTCAACTATGGACCAAATGAGCAGAAACATTAAGTGGACTTGGAACACCACAATCAAGCCCAAAACCTTAAGGCATTAGGTGCATGAATCCTTCCACACTTATATGATGTTCTCTTAGTCTATTCTTAACTAATATGAGACTTTTTCATTCAATCATTCACACTTGCAATCTTCAATATCGATCCTTGCACCCAAAAAAGTAGGACGTGCAAACCAAAAGGTTGGTGATTCTTTGTGTAAGATAAATGATGAATACTAATAATAATCCGGTGAAAAGAATTAGTCATCTTCATTTATTTTTAGTTTTTTTTTTTAACGAGTAATCATATTATTATTTGTATCTCTTTTTGGTACAGATTTTTATTACTATCTGCTATGCACCCAAAAAAATTATTATTTGTCCCTTTTGAGTTTCGGTATAATAAAAGCCCATCCTCCTATTAGATATTATCAGTGCCGAAAAGGTAGATTAATTAATTATGTTTATGTTAATATATCTAACACATTATGAGGTTAAAACTCATAACCACTTGGACTTGCATTGTGATACCATATAATGTAATAGTAATGACAACATTAATAATTTTATATTAATATATCTAACAAAAAGAACAAAAACAAAGTGAACATTAATGACTGCCAATTGGAGATATATAAAGGGTGTTGAAATTTGATCTTTTTTGTGGAACCAATACCCGCCGGATGTTGGAAGAGATTTGAGCTTTAAGGCGAAATTGAAAGCCACCATTTATAGTATTGTGTGGTGAAGAAAATTTATGAGTATTAAATCTTTTGCTTGAGTGTTCTGTTTGAGTAGGAAGTGATATGGAGTGTATTGGAATTTTGGATTTATGAAAGATATTTTAGAAGTTTCTAATTGTAACTATTGATTGAGATTAGTGAATTGATTCGTAAAGTCGTTGAAATAAATATTAAAGGCGGAACCATCTTAAATTGTCTATTTGATTAATCTTATGTGGGTTTTTTCTTTTCTTTTCCAACGCTAACTTGGATTGAGATCCTCTATACATGAATAAAGCTGAAAAGTTATATGCGATGAATGCGCCCAAATTTTTTTATTTGAGTAAAATAAAATAGTTATAAAAATTCAAATATCAATTTCATTCGCATAATTTGTATATAATCTAGAAATACATAATGTCTGAAGATAATATAATGAGTAAAGAAATTTTGAATAGCAGTTATTAACTCCTGTATAATAAAATAATAAAATAGAGTATTCACTTCTAAGAGTGAAAAAAATCTTATATTATAATCTTTTCTTAAAATATGTGGCTTCATTGTTGTTTAACTTTTTTTTTTTACATTTTTGAAAATTATCAAATTATTAATTGCTTTTAATTTTTCATGTAAATGCTTTTCAATTTCAATCACTTATATATTAAAATAATTAATTTTCAAGTTTCTCTTTTTATCTTTCTTTTTTCAAATCTCAATATTTACTTTCAAATTAATTCCTATCAAAATTTTCTGTTTTATATTAAAACGTATTATTTCTTTCTAAATCTCAACTACTCCGCTATGATATATTAAATTAGAATATATTATTCCAAATACGAGTCTATATATGAGCTTTATATTTAGAGAATACAATAATTTTCTATTGACCCTTTGATTATTGTACTGTCACTTTTTTTCCCCCCTCTACTGGCGGGTCTCATTTTAGCTGAGTCTGTAGGCGAAGTTTTTTATTTTTAAAAATTGCATAAAAAGTGTAAACTCCTTAATATGTTTCCCTCAAAGAATAACATATGTTTTCATTAATTTTCTTCTTTTGATGTTTAAATTTAAAATTTTTGCATTAATTATGCATATCATTATTATATAATTTAAAAAATCTCTCTTTTAATATGCATTATTTATGTTTTACATAAATTAATTGGGGAAGGATATTGTAACAATCAAGTTGTGTTACTACCATTTTACTACCAATCAATCTCACCGTTAGATCGAGTATGTTAATCCAATGGTTATATTTATTTCCATCTTTGTGTGGTCATGATTTTTCAAATTTAATACTTTATATTTATTTTCACCTTTATATGATTATGATTTCCTATATTTAATGCTTTCACTTTAAATATGGGGAATCATAACCATACAAAGATGAAAATAATTATAACTGTTGGATCAACATAATCGATCTAACGGTGAGATTGATTGGTAGTAACACAACTTGATTGTTACAATATTCTTCCCCAAATTAATTATGCATAATTAATTGTGCATGGAACATACTTTACATAATTATGCATAATTACACTTTTTAAATTTGACCTGTTTAAAATATCCTTACAATACATGAAACATTTTAACTTTAAAAAAATTAATGCAAACAAATACGTATATAAATTTGATCAATTTGATTTTAGGAAAAAGTACACCAATATCCCTGTAGTTAGAGGTGTAAATAGATTAGACTGGCCTACAGGGGCCTACGACCTAACTTATAATAAGCTAAGCTTGGCCTATTACAAATAGTAAAATAGAACAGGTCTAGATTTTTTTTAAAATCTATTTAGAAAACAAGTCATAGGCTTTTTTTATACATGTCGGGCCTATAAGTTTACAAGTCGGCCTATATCATATTTAAAATAAATAAAATTATTATTTTAATAATTTTGAATAATAAAGTAATATTATTTTAGTTATTCTTTTAATTGTTGAATGTTTAATAGGCTTAAACAGGCTAACAACCTTATGCCAAAGCTTTTATTTTTAAATATAGGTCAGGTCAGACTTGTAATTTGGGACCTACACAGGTTAATAAGTCAGGTCAGACCCAATATTCTTTACACAAGCATGACCTATTTAAATCAAAGCCTAGCCTAGCCTATTTACACCTAGGGGTGAAACTGGATCGGACCGACCTACGTCAGGCCAGACCTGACCTAGTAAATTTCATAAAATAGGCCGGACTTAGGCCTTGAAAAACTTGTTTAATAAAAAGGTTGTATGTCCACTTTCACAAAGCCTGGCCTATAAGCCTATATGTCAACTTATATAAGTATGCCTTAAAGAAAAGATAAAAGATATAAATTTAATCAATTGCAATTATTTATAATTTAATTATATTCGATTATATTTTAATAGAAATCTGACTTTATTTCTTATGTAGGAAGAACCAACATCTTATCATGTTAGATTGTGTATATGAATATATTAAAAGATTTTTCGGAGATGTTATACTTACTACAAGCATCATAATGTGTTTGTTGGATTCATGTAGTTATTTTAATTTAAATAGTATGGATTTGTTTGTTGGATCTGATCAAATATATGTTATTTAGTTTGATCATTTTGCTTTTGAAAGTAACTTAAATGCAGATTGTATGAGTTTTATTGTGATTCATGATTCTGCTTGGACGTTGAAATTATGATTTTTGGTTTAGTAACAGAATTTGAGTAGATTCATGGTTCTGTTTGGAAGTTAAAAATTAACGGGCTAACGGGCTAGGCAAGGCCATTTGTTTTTTTATAAACGGGTCAAGCAACAGTTAGACATTCGTATTAGGCTTGGGCCAGACCAAATTGAATTTTTTTAGCATATGCTTGGGCTTTTCGGAGAAAAGTTTGGCCCAGCCCACTTTCACCCCTATTTACACTCCTTCCTGTGGTTTGCTCCAAAATAACCTGTACTCCTGTGATTTTTTTATCACATATGTCCTTGTAATTTGCAAAAAGTATATTTTTTATCACATATTCCTATGTGATATTTTACTTTTTACCAATCACAGCGACATTGATAAAAAAAAATACATTACAAGAGCATAAATAATTATGAAGCAAACTACCACTACATTGATTTTTAAAACCCTAGTCTGTGTCTACGTTACTATTATAAGTCTATGATGGAAAATGCACATTTTGATTGAAGTTAATCTTAAAATAAGTAAGGTGTAACTACTAATTTAATGGGTTATATTAAAACATATTTTAAGTTAACTTAAAATAAATACATATTTTTTGACTTAAAAATAAGTTTACTATAAAAATATCTTTGCATAAATCGAGTGGGGCTATGCTCGTGTCGACGACGTGAACCCCATTAACGCCGTCCAGAACCTTTGACAATTTACCTAACCCCAACACATGACTCAAGTCTCAAGCCACTTCAAATATCAGAAACGCGCTCGAACAATGTGCGTGGCTAAAAGTGGAATTCAGGTAAAGTGAAGAAGCCAAAAGCAGCCGAACACGGGTTCACCTCTTTTGTTTTTTGAAAAATAACTGGACCCCGCTCACGCGCTCCTCCTCCTAGGCATGATAACAACGTGATCACACGCGCTTCTTCTGTGTTTTCACTTCCCCTCATAGAAAGAGCGCTTTTCCTTTTGAAAGTCTCAAAATCATTTTCTTTCGCTTTCTCTTCTTCTCACAGCACTGTTTGTTTCCCCAGAAAATTTTTCGAAAAAAAAGGAAGGAAAATAAGCTTTCACGTCTGTTGAGATTCAACTGTCTCTGTCTCCATTTCTCGTCTCGTGCGTCTGCGTACTCGTGCTAGAACTTGAAATCCATTGCAAATTCCACTGTTTGTTTCCCGAGAAATTTTTTTTTTAAAAAAAAAAAGAAGAAGAAGAAGGAAAATAATCTTTCACCTCCGTTTTAGATAACACTGTCTCTGTCTCTATTTATTGTGTTGTGCGTGTGCATACTCCTGCTAGAACTAGAAATCAATTGCAGATTTTTGTGTGGATGAGTGTGGTTGGAAGACCGATGCCGCGATCCAACTCGGCCGTGCACCACCAGCGTCAGAGCTCCGACAACTTCATCCTCGATTCAACCTCTCACGGAAGATGGTTTAATTCCTCCGTTTTCGCACAGGTGAGGTTTTCATCTTCGTTTTCTCGATCGTTTGATTCTTTTTCTGAAAATCAGACACGGCACGAGCTAAAGCTATGGTGTCCTTGCGGAACGAATCGTTTTTTTTTTGCAGGAGTTTGGGACTCGATCTTCCAGCTTGAGGAAGATCGATGATGATCGTGTGTTGACTAGTGGACTGCTTGACCTGCATTCCTTCGATACTGAGCTTTTACCTGAGGTTTGGTGTGTGTTTGGATTAGCTTATTCTGTGTTAGGAAATAGCTTATAATCAAAGAGAGCTTTTATCCGAGACATGCTTTAATTTCACTCAGTTTGAATTAAGCTGAGTTGGTTGAATGAGCATAGTGTTAAATGTTATTTGTTGCCTAATTACTTAAGTTAATTATGCATAATTACTAGTTAGTTCCATTTAGTTTGAATTAAGCTGAGTTGCTTTATTGAGCATGATATTAAATGGTTATTTGTTGCCGAATTTCTTAATTGAACTGGGCGTAGTAATTGATAGTTAATTGGGATTTTGGTTTTTAGCATGATGAGATTATTTATGTGAACATACAAGTGACTGGGAATTTTAATTTGACTCTCAATAGATGTCTGATTTTCCCAATGAATATTTAACGAATCATACGATTGGGGGACAAAGTTTTGAAAGGTCCCGGGTCTTGCCTGAGAGCCATGTCCTTAGAAGTTTCTCAACTGATAAAGAGAGAGCAAACAATGTTGCTAAGATCAAAGTTGTGGTAAGCTTTGTGCCCTGTGTTTCCTTTTTATGCCTCATAAGTCATATCATTTTCTTTTATCGATAAATAAGGGTCTTGTTTTCCTTTAACAATTGCATTTTGGCTGAGAGTGCTGGTTACCACTGCAGGTTCGGAAGAGACCACTAAATAAGAAGGAAATAGCAAAGAAAGAGGAAGACATTATTACCATAGATTCAAATTCTCTCACAGTTCATGAAAGAAAACTCAAGGTGAGTAAGTGATAGCTTGTCTTAAATATCTACATTTTCATAATGCGAGCTCTCGATTGAATTTGTTCTCAAATATATATAATCAAGCTCAGTACAGGCTACTCTATGCTGCTTTTGCTGCCGTTTGAATGCAATTTTTTTGACATAAAAAGTACTTTTCACTAGCTATTCTGGAGTCAACGAAGCTACTGAACATGATATCATAGTACTCTCTGCTTCTTTTGGTTGTGATACTCCATACTCAAAGTAACAAGCTAGTTCTTAAAAATAAAGGTTAAGGGAAAAATAAATTAAACAAATCAAAATAAATGGACTTAAACGTGGATGACCTTTCGTGTTAATGCTTCAATGTAGTTCAAACCCAGTATCAATAATTTCAAAATCTCTCTTTCTCATTCTCTGATCTGTGTTTAATCAATTCAAATAGCATTGTGCCTTACAATTACTGCCAGAGAGACTATTACTAACTAAGGTCAACAATTTTCTAACTAATGTTGATCAGGTGATACATTATGGTATGATTTTACGATTAAAACATTCTTACTGTACTTGGACGTATGGATGTTGTACCTTTATCTGAGTTTTATGTCCAATTCACCTATGTCTGCAGGTTGATTTAACAGAATATGTTGAAAAACATGAGTTTGTTTTTGATGCTGTGCTGAATGAAGATGTTTCAAATGATGATGTGAGTATTTAACTAGCTGTGGTGCTTCTTGTTAGCACATTGATTGATAATTACTGATTTAACTAGATTGGTTTTTCTTTTTACCCAAGGTGTATACTGAAACTGTAGAGCCCGTAGTTCCGCTGATTTTTCAACGAACCAAAGCAACTTGCTTTGCATATGGTCAAACTGGTAAGTAATCTGTTTATTGTTAATTGAGAAATGCAAGAGTACTAACATTGAGCATTGACCCCCAAATTGTAAAAATTAGAAATATCATTTCACATTTTATAATTAAACTCACAATATTCTTAAGATAAAAACATCGAAAGTTTCTTGAATATTTCAAAATATTTTTGCTTTACTAATATAATGGAAGGTATGAATAAAAGTGATGATGATTAATGATCTAAATTGTTTTGTAGGTTCTATGATTTTTAACTTGTATCTATGAAGCATATATAATTGAAAATTAAACTAATCAGTTTGCAACAGTCACTCACATTGACACTTGTGACATATATATAGATAGATAAGCTGCAAGATTTACAATATCTTGATATATGTCATGTGTCAAACTGAACTGAAATTGGTATATGACAAAAACACTTCTACCTTATCAATTTTATTTTCTTATTAAAGATGACTTAAAAGTATGAAACAGACTCAACCTCCCTCAGTGAGTGATTTTTATTTTTTATTTTAATTTTAAATGGCTGTGTCTATGCCATGTTGGAGCCAAAAAATATTAAAGTAGACATGTATGGACACGTGTCAATGTGTCTTGTGAGTCAGACTGTCCCTATAGGTTTCTGTCCCTATAGGTTTGCAAACTTATGTCTTTGTGTTTATTACATAGAAGGCTCGAATCTTAAAACAAATTCCTTCAGCCTAGTTTTTAACCCAGCTAAACTTGTCTGGGTTTGTTTTGATGAACTTCCCTGTGATAAAAGTTGGCACTATGTGGGGATCATTCAACTCCATAAAAACTTCTTCATTTTAATGCTCTCATTATAGATAGTAGCTGTATGACTATGTGGTGGTATTTAGTTTCAACTTATATATGTCTGGTAAATATTTTGTCTTGGCTACATAGTGGGTTGAATTTCAATTTACATATGCTAAATAGTGGGTTGAATTTCATTTTTAAATATCTTTTCTGAACTCTATAAACTCCCTTTCCCTGTCGCCCTTTTTGCTTCCTGTTTTTTAACTTCACTCCATATCCAAGTTGAATTTGAATATGCTCCGGATACTTAATTTTTAGTTTTTGATGATCACTTAGAATAGGTGTTGGTTTTGAGTTATATATTGGGAGATAAGTTGATCTTTATCTTGTCAGTAAATTTATTAAATTTACTGACATATGCATATTCGATCTACCTTGATTTTCTTTTCCCTCTGAATTTTTTAGTTGATATGAAATTACTTTATTTTTTAGGGAGTGGGAAAACGTATACTATGCAACCATTGCCTCTCAAAGCATCTCAAGATATTTTCAGATTAATGCACCACAAATACCGGAATCAAGGTTTCCAATTGTTTGTTAGTTTCTTCGAAATATATGGGGGGAAACTATTTGATCTCCTCAATGATCGAAAGTAAGTCTTATCAACTTGTGGGCTAGAAAAAGTATCACTTTTGGGTTTATTTGCTTGATTGGTTTATGATTATGCAGAAAACTTTGCATGAGGGAGGATGGAAAACAGCAGGTTTGCATTGTTGGCTTGCAAGAATACAGAGTATCTAAAGTTGAGACAATCAAAGAATTCATTGAGAAAGGAAATGCTACCAGAAGTACTGGTACAACTGGTGCAAATGAGGAATCCTCTCGATCACATGCTATTCTTCAGCTTTGTATCAAGAGATCAGCTGATGGGACTGAATCAAAGCCTGCTCGAATTGTGGGCAAACTATCTTTTATAGATTTAGCTGGAAGTGAACGTGGTGCAGATACTACAGATAATGATAAGCAGACTAGGTGCGATTTTGTTTTTCAAATTCAATAATTCTTAAACCGTTATATTTCCTCAGATTTTGTTAGCTGATCTTTTTCTTGGGTGACTAGAAGACGTACTAGACAATGTATATCTGTATCTCTAGAAGTAACCATGTTAGAATGCCTATTTGGTTTAATTAAATTGATTTTTATTTTATATTTTAGGATTGAAGGTGCTGAAATTAATAAAAGCTTACTTGCGCTGAAAGAATGCATTAGAGCTCTAGACAATGACCAAGGGCATATCCCTTTCAGAGGAAGTAAATTGACGGAAGTTCTGCGAGACTCTTTTGTTGGTGATTCACGAACTGTAATGATATCATGCATTTCGCCAAGCTCAGGATCATGTGAGCATACTCTTAACACGTTAAGATATGCTGACAGGTATGTAGTTTGATTTTTTTTTTGGTAAGGACGGGATTGAACTGGTATAAAAAAGTATTCTAATTGACAGTCACTTTTCAGAGTGAAGAGCCTGTCAAAAGGGAACAGCTCCAGAAGGGATCCCCTTTCTTCCTCCAACCTTAGAGACTCAACTGTATTGTCTGCGTCTTCAGCTTTATCTCGTGATGATACATTTGAAGATGAAATAACATATGTTTCCAGTGAGAGGAATCGGTTTGGTTGGTCCAAACAGTTTGAAAGAGAACCCTCTCCTCCAATTAATATGGATCGTATTCCAAGTGGTAGGATGGGGGGAAATTTGGCACCATCCGTGTATTCTGATCCACTAAAGGGTCATAGAGGTGGTCAAAATGACAGAGCTGAAAATGAAAATGACTATCCAGGACCAACATATGAACAAGACAGAACAAGAAAAACAATTAAGCGGGTGGATAACACCCAATTATTTGCTGTGGAGGACAAGAGGAAGATAGAATCTCGTGTTAAACATGTAGATCTACCACATTTTGAGGCTAATCATTCTGATCCTGATGGTGATTTAAATGCCCTGCTGAAGGTATTTTCTTCTCATACCATATTGATAAAATGTTTTTGGCTATTAAAGTACTGAATGATGCCTGCTTTGCTCGGTTAATAGGAAGAGGAAGATCTTGTAACTGCTCACCGGAGACAAGTGGAGGAAACAATAGACATTGTTAGGGAGGTGTGTGCAAATCTCTTATACCTTTGATGATTTGCTAAGCTTAGTATTTTTTTTAATATTATGAAAGTTTTTGTGCAGGAGATGAATTTACTTGTTGAAGCGGATCAACCAGGAAATCAACTGGATGATTATGTTTCCAAATTGAATACCATTTTGTCACAAAAGGCTGCTGGAATCCTTCAATTGCAGACGCAGTTGGCTCAATTTCAGAGACGTTTAAATGAGTATAATGTTGTGGTATCTTCCGGTAACTGATAACGCTAATGAGAAAATGATTGGTGTGTTGTGGATGTGAAATTCTTTGTGATCTTCATATATTGCTGCTAAGATTTCATTGCTATGGATTGTTTCTCATGAATGTAGACAAGATTATTGGGGTTTTTGGAGTGCAGAAATAGAATTCAATCCGTCTTTGTTCTAAACTTTATTCCTCAGACGAGTCACTACTGTGACTGAACTGAATTGAACTATATACAAATGTTTGTTCACATGCTTATTTGGCATGCTATTATAACTTGCGGAGTGTACATTATACAATCAAATTACCCTGTTGGGGGGTTGCTTGTATTTTGCAACCTATTATGCAATTTTTTTTATTTGTGTACCGTCTTCCTCAATTGACTTTGATTATGACGTTGTTTTCGTGTCTTCTTGCACTGTATCATTAACTCAAGTGTCCCCTTTTCTTTTCCTCCTGTTTATGATGTGAAACCTTGACAGTGGATGTGGAGTGGTCTGGTCTTAAGGTGATGAATGAAGGTCTATAATGCACTGATCGTCGTCTTTTTGCTTCAGTAGATGTTAAGGGTTGTGTGTTCGAATTTGACTCATTTTAATTGGACTTCATGCCTCAGCCTGCCACATCCTCCCTAGTCACAAGCTGTGGTACCTTTGTAGGGGCATGCACGTTGCAATTGTTGCTGGCTTCACAAAACCTTTAATATTTACAGGTACACGCAGACAATACCAATTGGTTGGGTCCCCCTGTAATTCTGATAATGTGATACAAACTTGCAAACTTCCAATTGAATTCAATGTTGTCATAGACACTTGGCCCCTGCCTGATCGCCATCTCCCTGCCTGTGGCTTTCAAAACACGACCAAGACACAAGTCATTTGACGATGTCATTGTGCGAAAATTGATACCTTTATAATGATAACATCTCCACCATGTTTTGTCTGTTGACCCTATAGCTTGTTGATCTGTCATTCTCTAGCACTATTATTTTAACATTAAGCAGCATCATTAATTCTGGTAGAGCTTTGATCGCTGGAGTGTTGTGCACGTGTTGTTTGCGACGGACACACTGATCAAAAGTGATGCTTTGCGATGTTTATTTTTATGCTGTTTATATAATAAAATTATAAAAATGTTTAGTAACTTTATTTTTTTTCATATTGTTATTATTAAATAAAATCTTATGTTGATTTAATCCAATAACTTGCCTCATCCGTAATCAGTGAGTCAGTATAAAATTATATCTAATAATAAATAATGTTAAAAAAATGAAAGAGTATGTTACTAATATATTTCTTTTCCAAATTTCGATGGAATCTGTCTCTGACCCATATCTTCATGAAGAAATTGCTGTAGTTTAGATGGACAACTGCCATGGCATGCTGATTATAAACTCGGGCTCTTTGGCTCATTCTAATTGTCAGTTTTTTTTTTTGTACGAAGAAGGGGCCTAAGCCTAGAAAACACAGAGGTTACATGCCCGTGGCATCTTTCAGCAAAAACAGTCCCAAACCATTGGGAACACTAGACTGTAACACAAAGAGATTGATGCTGGAATGCAGCTTTAGCCAACCAGTCAGCACAATTGTTCCCTTCTCTCCGGACGTGTTGAAAGACAATATGCCAATCCTTTTCGATTCATTTCTGGATATCTTCGACTAAAGCATGAGTAGAATTCACCCCTTTTTGCACTGATAGCGCTTGGAGGGAGTCACCTTCCACTATTAATGTTTGGATATTCAAATCTCACGCTGTATGTAGTCTTTTTAGGATTGCCCAGAGCTCCGCCGTTAAGGGGTCACAACTGCCAATCCTATAAGTAAAACCTGCAACCCATCTTCCTTGCGCGTCCCTGAGGAGGCCTCCGCACACAGCCAAGTTAGGATTGGTTCTCGTAACAGCATCCACATTCATCTTCACCCATCCCACAGGGGGAGCTCTCCACCTCACCTGGTGGCGAGCTGGCTGACTAGTCGAAGGAGGAGTGTCTCTCTCTAAAGCTTGCCTGATCCCAATTATATAATTCTCGATGAACATCAGTTGGTTTTCTGGCCTGCTGGAATCAGATTCGTGGATAACTTTGTTCCTCCACACCCATAAAAACCAGATGGTCACCATGAAAATGTCTTGCCAATTTAAATTATGAGGGTGAGGCCAAGCTTTAGCTAAGTTCTTCTTGGTCCACTCGACCCGATTGGAGTTAAGGAAATCTTCTGGGATATCATTGGCAAACCAGAATTTCCAAATTGGCAAAGCTTGCTTACAATCTCTAAGGACGTGAGTGACAGATTCAATTTTGTCCGAACAGAAATGGCACTGGGCTAAGCCGCCCCATTTGGAAGTGATCTCACTGGTAAGAATCCTGCCATGCATCACCAGCCAGACAAATTGACGGATCCGTTGCGGGCCAGGCCATCTCCAAATGGTATTCCAACTCTGGTCTTGGGAAGCTCTATCAAACCCCATTATACACTTGTAAGCATGCTTAACAATACCTTTGGAGTTGATTTTATCTTTCCAAGCCAGCCTATCTGAACCATTCTCATCGGAAGGGGGAAGAATTGATCTGATATGATTAATGGTCTCCTCGGGTAGCACCTTATGAAGACTCCCCAGGTTCCAGCCCCTTTAATTTAGGTCCACAAAATCAGCAACTGAGGCATCCAGATCTATGGGGGAGCTGTTAGGCTTGGAGAAGTTAATAATGGGTGTGTCAAGATAAGTCCAGCGGTCATTCCAGAAGCTTATGTCCCTCCCATTTCTGATTTTCCAAATTAAACATTTCTGAAGATCCGGCCAGATTTGGCAAAGGCCTTTCCAGAGCTTGGTATAATAAATTTGTGCAGTGAACTGACGTCTAGGATCCACATTTCTCCCATACTTTCCTAGCAGGACTTGCACCCAAAGGTCCTTAGAGTTGTTGAGAATTTGCCAGGCCACTTTAAACAAGAACGCTTCATTATGAGCTTTGAGATTGTGGATGCCCAACCCTCCTGTTGCTTTGGGTTGACACAAAGTCTCCCAGGCAACAAGGTGAGCTCTCCTCTTACCATTACTGTCCCCCAAATGAAAGCCCGTTGGATCTTTTCTATCTCACTACAAACAGTCAAAGGAATAGAGCCATGTTACATGTGATAAGTGGGAATGGAGCTAATGACAGATTTAGCAAGATTAGTTCTTCCAGCAAAGGATAGCAAGTTGCTCTTCCAACCCGAGAGCCGAGCTTTAACTCTTTGGATAACTAAAGCAAAATTACGTTTCCTCCCTCTACCATTGTACAACACAGATCCCAGATATTTCCCTAGAGAGTCTGCCATATTGAATCCACTGGCCTGAGCAATATCATTCTTGATGGAAGGGCTAGTATTCTTAGAGAAATAGATAGTAGTCTTCTCGATGCTCACTACTTGACCAGACATCTCACTGAACTTCTTGAGGCACTCAAGCATCACATCCAGCTGGTTGAGGCAGGCTTCTCCAAAGAACACCAAATCATCCGTAAACATGAGGTGCGAGATAAGAGGACCCTTCCTTCCAGCTTTCATTGGCTTCCAACTATTCGCCTTGACATCATTAGCAATTAGGTGGGAGAGCTTGTCCATACACAGAACAAAAAGATAAGGGGAGATTGGATCTCCTTGACGAATGCCCCTAGTGGGAGTAAAGGGGTCCGATTTGCTGTTATTCCAAAGGACATGGAACCTAGAGGAAGAAATGCAGGCTTTTATAATATCAGCCATCTCAGAAGGAATTCCTGCTTCCAAAAGGACATTGTGGATGAAGCCCCAATTTAGTCTGTCATACGCCTTGGCCAAATCAATTTTAATGGACATTACCCTGGTTCACCCAATTCGGTTTACAAGGCAAATATAAATAGGATTACAAGAAACCCTAACAGCAGCTATTCATGGGCCCAAGCCCAAACTGCTAAGAAAATTACAATAGAAACAGAGGCCTAAACATTACCTAGCCTCTACGGGCCTGGGGGCGCTGCCCCCCGGACCCCGCCCGCTCACCTGGGAGCGGGACCCCAGTTGCCTTTCTGCTGACCCCGACAATTAGGGCCAACATCATCATGTGAAGTATGAGCCATACCCAACATTCTCCCACTTGGTGAATGCTTCACATGTTTCTTCAATCCCAAAGCATCTGTACACCATTCAAACTTCTCCGAAGTCACTGCCTTGGTCAGAAAATCAGCATTGTTGACCTTTGTGTCAACCTTCTCCAGCAATACAACCTTGTCTTCAATCTTCTCTCTGATGAAGTGGTACTGTATGCCGATATGCTTGGTCCTCGCATGGAAACCTGGGTTCTTAGCCAAGAAAATGGCGCTCTGACTGTCACACCCAACGATCATCTCTCCTTGTGCAAAGCCAAGCTCTTTGCACAACCTCCGTAACCAAATAGCTTCCTTAACAGCATGTGTCAAGGCCATGTACTCAGCCTCTGTAGAAGATAAAGCAACAGTGCTCTGCCTCTTACTCATCCAACTGATAGCTCCGCCAAATGAAGAAACAACATATCCACTTGTAGATCTTCTACTATCAATGTCACCTCCCCAATCAGCATCCACAAAGCATCTCAGCTCTAACAATGTCTGTCCCCTTGAGCCCTTCACGCCTTCATAGCATAACCCAAGGTCAGACGTACCACGAAGATAGCGGAACACACGCTTCACAGCCGTCCAATGCTCATTTCCTGGCTTGGACATATACCTGCTCAATACTCCCACTGCTTGAGCAATATCAGGTCGAGTACAAATCATGGCATACATCAGACTCCCTACTGCACTAGCATAAGGAACTGACGCCATCTCTTCTTTTTCTTCTTCAGTCTTGGGACACTGGTCAGCCGATAACTTAGAACCAGTAGACATGGGAGTCAACACAGGCTTGCAGTCAGTCATCTTGAATTTCTTCAGAACATCTTCTATGTACTTCTGCTGACTTAACCATAATCTTCGTTTGTCACGCTCCCTCTTAATCTGCATACCCAAGATCACATTTGCAGCGCCTAGATCTTTCATTTCAAACTGCTTTGCTAGCAGTCCTTTAACAGTGCTGATCATTTTCAAACTGTTTCCAACGAGTAACATGTCGTCAACATACAAAGTTAGAATAACAAAGTCACCTTCTAACCTTTTCACATAAACACAGTGATCAGCATCACAACGGTCAAAGCCAAGCTTCAGCACATAAGTGTCGAACTTCATGTACCACATCCTTGGGGACTGCTTCAGGCCATACAGAGATTTATTCAGCTTGCAGACTAGCTCCTCTTTGCCTCTTGCAATGAACCCCTCTGGTTGCTTCATGAAAATAACCTCCTCCAAATCACCATGAAGAAAAGCTGTCTTCACATCCAGCTGCTCCACCTCTAGGTCATATGCAGCTGCTACAGACAAAACCAGTCTTATGGAATTTAACTTTGCAACAGGTGAAAATACCTCACCATAATCAACCCCTTCTGTCTGTGAATATCCCTTTGCAACCAATCGAGCCTTGTAGCGTTCAATCTCCCCATTGGCACCAACCTTCTTCTTGAACACCCACTTGCAACCAATTGCTTTTCGGTCTGCAGGTAGATTCACCAAACTCCAAGTTTGGTTTTTCATCAGAGACTTCATCTCTTCTTTCATAGCTTCCTCCCACTGTTTGGCATCCTCCGAGCTCCTCGCATGTTTTACAGTGCTCGGATCATCACCTGTAATACTAAATGCACAAACATCATCACTAGCACACAGGATATAATTTTCAGGTGTATACCTCTCAGATGGTCTTCTTTCCCTCGTGGATCTCCTCAGCACTGGTGCTTCAACCTCAGCCTCAGTTTCAGAAAATTCATCCTCTACCTCATTATATTCAGCAGCTTCAGAATTCAAATTTTCCAATTCAATCTGTGAGTTTATTGTATCCTCTTTCAAACCCACATCCAACTCCACCGTCTGTGACTTTTCAGGAGCTTCAGGAAAAATCTGATTCAACTTAGATTCTCTGAATACAACGTCTCTGCTGTAAGTTACACTTCTAGTATCCGGATTCCACAACTTATAACCTTTGACGCCATCCTTGTACCCAATAAAGATACACTTTTCAGATTTACTGTCAAGCTTGTTTCTTTTCTCCTTGGGTACGTGCATATAAGCTTCACAGCCAAACACTCTGATATGAGATACGTCTGGCCTTTTTTTAAACAGTGCTTCATACGGAGTCTTCTCCTTCAAAGCTGATGTAGGAGATCTGTTCTTCAGATAACAAGCAGTAGCCACTGCCTCTGCCCAAAACTCAGTTGCCAAGCCTGCACCGCTCAGCATACTCCGTGCTTTCTCCATGAGAGATCGATTCAACCTCTCTGCCACCCCATTCTGTTGAGGTGAGTAGGGCGTAGTCTTCTGTCTTACAATCCCATTGCTCGCACAAAACTGGTCAAATTTTGTTGAACAGAACTCCCCTCCATTGTCAGTTCTCAGCACCTTGATTTTTTGATCAAATTGATTTTCCACCAAAGCCTTGAACTCGCAGAATTTATCGAACACTTCATCCTTGCTGCGCAAGAAATATAACCACACATATCTTGAAAAATCATCAGTAAAAGAAACATAATACCTTGATTTTCCATGTGATGCTACAGGTGTGGGGCCAAACACGTCGCTGTGTATCAAGTCCAGAACCCCCTCAGCTCTTCCTCCTATGGAATCAAAAGATACCCGATTTTGCTTCCCTTGCAGGCAATGCTCGCAAAATCCAAACCCCATAGAGCAGCGGAATTCCATCCACCAACTTCTTTGATGTTAGAGTCTCCAGACCTTTTCCTCCAATATGCCCCAGCCTCCTATGCCATAACATAGCAGTGTCCTCCTCCGCCTGTTCTGAAACATAGCTTTCACCACTGAATACTGTGCTACCCAGCAGTTTCCACAATTTACCATGACGCTCTCCTCTTGCAATAACCAAAGCTCCTCGAGTCAGCTTGCAAGAATACTTGTCACTGCTAAAATTAATACCAGCATCTGCCATACTACCAACGGAGATCAGATTTCTGGTAAGCCCCGGAATATGCATCACACCCGGCAGATTCTTGACTGTCCCGTCACTCATCTTCAGCTTTACCTTCCCACGCCCCACAATTGCATGAGTCGTGTCATCTCCCATTCTAACTGTACCGCCAGAATACGATTCATAGGTGCAGAACCACTCCCTATGAGGTGTCATATGAAACGATGCTCCAGTGTCAATAATCCAATCATTACAGTCATTATGACTGTCAAACGCCATGTACAGGTCCCCTGTACTATCATCATCATCCTTCTTTGTACCCGAAGCAGACGGTTGTGAATCATCCCGCTTCTCAGGACCTACACTTTTACTTCTGCAATTCCTTCTCAGATGTCCAACCTTTTTGCACCTCCAGCACCTCATTTCAGATTTATCAGATTTATCACGGGACTTTGATCGTCCCCTCGATCTTCCTCTGTGACCAGACTTTGATTTGTCATCACTCCTCCCTCTAGCAACCAGAGCCTCATTGTTGGTACCTTCAGAACCTACCCTTCTCATCTCCTCAGACAATAAGGCAGCAACAACCGTCTCAAACGACAGTTTATTAACACTAGTACCAATTGACACAATGATGTGCTCCCAAGAGTTGGGCAGTGAACACAACAAGGTGCAAGCTTTGTCTTCCTCGTCCAGGTTAATGTCTATAGACGAAAGTTGTGCACAAATAGTATTAAATTCATTTAAATGAGCAGAGAAAGAATCACCTTCGCTCATCCGCAGATTATACAGCCTCCTTCGCAGGAACAGCTTGTTCACGAGTGACTTGCTCTGATAGAGACTTCCCAGCTTCGTCCAGAGATCCTTCGCGGTCTTCTCAGAAGTTACGTTCACCAGAACGTTATCAGCCAGGCATAACCAGATCAGGCTTCGCGCCTTTCGATCGTCTCTGGTCCACGCCTTCAACTCCTTCGACTCGCCATCACCTGACGTTTCTTCACCGACAGGTTTTGTTGGTACGGACGGCTTATCATCTTCGATCACGTACCACACGTCCCTGTCAACGAGCAGAGCCTCCGTCTTCAGCTTCCATAACTCGAACCCTTTTCCTCCGAACTTTTCAACCTCGACCCGTGATTGGCCAGTCGACATCCTCTCCAGATCAATTTCGCAGTTTTATCTATGCCAAGAAAAAACCCTAAATCGCGAAACCCCAATCTGTCACAGGAACCCTGGTCGCAGAACCAAAGCTCTGATACCAATTGTTGGAAATCGACAATCACACAGAATCGAGAAAACAGAAAAAGAGATAAGAGTAGAGAGATTGACACGATGATTTACCCTGGTTCACCCAATATAGGCTACGTCCAGCTTGTCTGTACTATATTCACCTCACCGCCACTCGTTACAAGTCTCTCGGTTTACAAGGCAAATATAAATAGGATTACAAGAAACCCTAACAGCAGCTATTCATGGGCCCAAGCCCAAACTGCTAAGAAAATTACAATAGAAACAGAGGCCTAAACATTACCTAGCCTCTACGGGCCTGGGGGCGCTGCCCCCCCGAACCCCGCCGTGGCGGCTCCCCCGGACCCCCGCCCGCTCACCTGGGAGCGGGACCCCAGTTGCCTTTCTGCTGACCCCGACAATTAGGGCCAACATCATCATGTGAAGTATCATTAACTTTGTTAATCCTATCAGGGTTGGAAAAACAATCTTCGATATCTTTGCCATAGATCCAGTTCCTTTCCTCCTGTGGCTCATAAACAAATACGTGTAATAATTCGAAACCATACCTTTGAGGAGGTCCTCATTTCTGATCTAAATACCCATATCATTCTTCAGAGCCAAAATCGTGTTTCTTCTCCTTCTGGCAATTGCTATCGTGTGGTAGAATTTAGTGTTACGGTCCCCATCCCTGATCCACACAACCCTGGATTTCTGATACCAAAGCTGCTCCTCCAGCTCTATAATCTTGTCCAGCTCCTGTCCCAGCTCAAATTACAGCTCTTCTAGATACGGGTTAGCTCTAGCTTCCAGATGTCTTTGAATTCCTTCCAATCTTAGGAGAAGAGAGGATTTCCTCCTGTGAATAATGCCAAAGGTGTGTTCATTCCAAGACTTGAGAGTGGGAGCCAAATATCTCAGGTTTGAGCTAGTGTCCACATAGTCCTTCCAGTTATCTCTCAGAAGCTGGTCAAAGCTTGGGTGATCCAGCTAAGGAGGGAAGAATCTGAAAGGACGTTCCTCCCAATCACAGTTAGCAGGAGAAAGGCAAATCAGTAAAGGATTATGATCAGAGCAAGTTCTAGGAAGGATTTTGATTACAGCTTCTTCGTAGGCATTCCTCCAATTCACGTTAGCAACAACACGATCCAGTCTTTTAAAGACCCGGTTAAGGTGTGCAAATTTTGGCCCTTTCCAAGTGAATAGAGGCCCATAACTGCCCATGTCCATAAGCTGGCAATCATCCAGAGCTGCTGCAAATTCGGAGCACCTCCCAAGGTCAACAGGGGCTCCACCTTTTTTTTCATCCACCGATAGAATCTCATCGAAATCTCTTGCAAGTAACCAAGGCTCCTCAAACCTCAAGTGCCAGTCACGCAACACATCCCACAGCTCCCTCCTCCTTTCCAATCTAGGATTAGCGTACACTGCCGAGAAGAGGAAAGGGGTTTTGTCAGGAGTTTTAATTCTTAGCAAGATGACTTGAGGATTTTTTTTCCAAAACCTCCATAACATAGTTGGTATGATTCCACATAATCCAAATGCCCCCAGCGTATCCCACCGCATCTTCAATGATGGAGTTTGTAAACCCCAGGCTGCGAATAATTTTCTTGGCCCTGGTACCACTCAACCTGGGCTCTAAGAAGACCACAACCTCTACCTTGTGATTTCTGATAAGGGTATTCATGATGCCTTTCAGTTTAGCCTTTGCAGCACCACGATAGTTCCAGATCAGAAAATTCTTTAAAAATCTGATGAGGTTTGGTGGGGGTTAAGGGCTCCACCTTCCCAATCTTTGGCTCACTTCCTAAGGTAGCGCTATTCTTCTCCATTGAATGAATTTCTTCAATTGGGATTTAGGGGTATCCCCTGGGAGAGGGAGACCCCTGTCCTTTCCCACCTTATCTCTATTCTCTTTTCCTTCTTTTCGTATCGAAATTGAGGGAGTAATCTGAGGCGAGGAATTCATTGCAGAAATCATCTCATTGAGCATCATCTCTTACTGTTCTTTAGGCATCGACTTCATAAGAAGCAAGACGTCCTGCTCTTTGCTTTTGCTATCCACATTACCCGTTGGTTGAGGCAATGGGTTTTCTTTTGCTATATGCAATCTGGTTCCTTCTCCTAGTCTGGGCTCTTTTCGTGGACCACTTGGGTCTGGATTCTTCTTGTTCTTGTTTATTGGCCCCTTAGGCCCAAGTTTCATATTTTTGGTTGGGTTTTTCTGCACATGGCTGGACCTGGGTTTATTATGGTACGACCCACCCAATGCGTTTGCGTGTATCTCTAAACCCGATGAGCAAAAGTTTCCTGTCACTTCCTTTGTGTCAGAGAATGATGTCAACTCCTTGGAAACTGTCCCTTTCTTCTTTTCTTCCATCTGCATCACTGTCTCCTCCTGCGCATCTAACTCAGACAGAACGGCGAAGCGAGATTTTTGGTTCGGATTGACACCGCCGGTGGCTGGGTCTTTCTCCCTTGGAGTTTTCTCCATGACTGGACTTTGCAAGCCTCTAGTTCGTCCTTCCAATTTCAGAGGAGTTGATCCTTTCATCTTTCTCCCTCTCTGATACTTTTGGACAACCATCCATGACCCAAACGCATCTGTCGTTTCTGTTGCTTCGGGGGTTTTGTGCCCAGTAACTTCACTCTCCTTCGTCCCCTTAGGTTGCCCTGTTCTAGTTGGCTTTGGGGTGGCCACTCCTCCATTGTAAAACTCTTGCCTGTGTCCATAACGCTCACACCCAAAACAGATTAGGTGTAGTCCCTCTTACGCTACTTGGAAGGGCTTGTCCATTACATGGAACATGGGAATGAAGCTCTTTCTGAGATCAACTTCGATACAAATCCTCGCATACTTTGCTTTTTCAGTATACTTTCCTTCTCCTCCATCTGTCTTCCTCAGAGAATTCTGGTCAATTTTTAGTGTCCTCCCTAGGAGGTTTCCTATTTTCCATATATGCTTGGAGGTGTAGAACTCCAGAGGGAGACCTGGTATACGCACCCACACTGGCAACCTCTTCACTTCTTCATCGTAGGGGTCAAACATGGGCCTCCATCTTTGGACAATCACGTAGTGTTCAAACACTATCCATGGGCCCTCATGGAGGATATGGTGATAGTCTTTGTCATCATGGAAGTTGAAGAGGATATAACCATTATCTAGGTCAATAGTTTCCTATCCTCCAACTAGGTTCCAAGTTTTCAGGAGCCTCGTGATTAGAAGCCTGTTGCTGATCTTCTTCCCCATGAGTTTAAAGATTAGGGCTTTCCTCCATTTCTTGCAATCTTCTCTATGTTGCTTCAAAGAAAAGTGATAAACTGGGCTTAAGGGGTTAACTTGCTCCCGAGGGGCTTCGTCCTCACTCTCTTCTGGTTCTTTTTCCTCTCTTCTGAGAGTTGTCATTAGGTCCTCCTCGTCACTGAATGGCCCATCTTCGTCTCCGTTTAGTTGGAGAACTATGTCCTTGTATGAGACTAGCCTCTTCTCTACCCCTCCGGGGCTTCTTAGGTTCTTATTTTCATTTTCCTTTTGTGCTCTACCGCTGTTAGCTTCCACGACAGCTTCTTTCTCCAGCATTTCTTCGTCCATATGGAGATCTTCATTGTTATTCTCCTTTGCTTTTTTTACACTTCTTTCCAATAAATCCTCTTCTTCTTTCTCCGGTTCCGGTCTTGCATGTTCCATCGAAGTTTCTGGCCAGAAACTAGGAAGGAGAGCTTTCATCGCTGCTATTTCTCCTACTTGCAGTCCTAGGGTTTGAAATTCGACCAGTGATGAGATAATTGTCAGAGCTTTTACCTTGCTTTTTAAGCTTGAATTGAAACTCTTTATATGGTGGTGAATGTAACGCCAAATAGTGTTAGTGCCACAAATAAAGCTAAAAGTGTTTACTTCTTTGCTCTTCTCATTTCCATGGAAGGCTTGAACTCTAAAATTTTGAATTAGGTTTGAGCAAGCCAATGGTGGCTATAGTTAGGGTTCTCTGTACGTTGAATTGAATTTTACTGAAGGGAAAAGCCAATAAGTCTAATCTAATCGGTTTTTTTAATGATAGCACCCGTTCAGTTAGCTTTAAAATATAAATTCAATTCAGTTCAATCTATTATATAAATGAGTTTGAATTGAATTCTAATAAGCTTAACAATTTCTTGGTTGGTAACGCACGGTTGATCAGGCTTTGTTGAGGATCTTTAGGATGATTGATGTTTGAATGATGGGGCCTCCTTCTAGGATGTATTTGTGTGCTTCTTGAAGTTCTCTTAGAAAGAGGTGCAGATTTATAATTGCAAGGCACTCCGATGGATAGGTACGTATAAACTATATAGCACCGATACAGACACGGGACACGAGACACGATACAACATGACACTCCGACACGTTAATTCTAAAAAATATTAGATTTCGACACGTTAGAACACGTTTTGATATTAAGTATTATTTTTAATTTATGTAATGTATATTATATTTAATAATCAATAATTTAACAAAAAAATGAAGTTAAACTTATAATACCTATCAATTTTGCAAAGAAACGTAAGATATCCCAAATATTTATATTCAACTTAATAAAATTATAATAGTAATCTAACGAATCTAATAATTGGAACTAAAATCGTAACGCAATGCAACCTTTGAACATTTTTTTAAGTCTCTACAATACGTGTTGGAGTGTTGGGGAGTGTCGAAGAGTGTCGGACACGACACGTTAGAATTTTTGAGATATCGGTGCTTCGTAACACTCTAATGCTCAAAGTTTGAGTTAGTAAATTAATGTAGGAAGATGTCTACATGAGTACAGAGTCTTTGTATTTATAATGATTGAGGGACATGCATTGGAATCTAAATGACCGCCTTTGAATGAGTTGGTGTCAGTTCTTTGCTGCTATGGCTTTTGATTGACTCGGTGAGGGGTTTCTGAGATTCGTACTTGTGGGCTATTATTCATATATTGTGCTCGAAAATTAAATTGGATTGAATTGGTTTTCAGGGTAAAACACCAATCGATTTGTATAAAATTGTGTTTAGATGAAAAAGGTACGATATGCTATGGACATTCTTGGGCTTGCAATACTGAAAATTGAATCTCCATGTTGTAAGCAATTTGTCAATAATTCATGATTCATGTTCAACAGTAATCAGTCAAGAACATGACATAGGATCTTTAGAATTCATGAGTTTCACACAAACATACCTTTGTCCATAATTGCGGAAGATCTTTAACAGTAGAATGCTTTCTCTAAGCTTTAACCCTTTCACCGTTCTTGTACCTTCTTTGATAGGGATAGGATACAACTTTTCTAGGCAGACTCAGAAGGACGTTTGTTTTCTATAGATACCCTTACTTGAAAACTGACCATATAAACTATTATATAACTGGCCTATCACAGTTATTTCTAATTAACTTCCCTTAATGCGAAACGTCAAAACGTCAATTACCATTAATGTGAAACGTTACCATAATGCAAAACGTTAAAACGTCAATTATCATTAATGCGAAACGTCAATTACCTTAAAGCCTCTTTTATTATTAATCAAACCAATTGACACACATCACACATGAGACACAAATAGTTTTACATTCTCCCACTTGGCTCATGTCATAAGGTTAAAGGTTCCATACATTGACATCATCATAATTCATTATTAGAAATAAAATCAACATGAGTCATGGCGGTTGTATGCTATCAAGTCGGCATAGTCCCTTCCATGTACTACTATATTGACTCTTCTTCCTAACATGATACTTTAATAGGAAGTGTACATTATGTCCAACAATAATGTCTTCATAACGGACCATAATTATTTTCAATATTATCACATATACTTGCATGCATTCATAAATTGAAAATAAGACAATATCAGAAACATATATTCATCAATGAGCTCAGAGTGTCAACACTTAATGCATAACTATAATTTTTCATCATTCACTAGCTGACATAATGCCCATTTTACGTAGTAAATGTCTTGGGCGATAGTCCCTTCGTCAAGGGATCAGCTAACATAAGATCGGTGCTAATATGCTCTATTGACACTCTATGTTTTTGAACATCTTCTTTAACGGCAAAGTACTTTAATTCCATATGTTTAGCACCTTTGGAATACTTGTCGTTTTTAGAAAAGAAGACTGCTGCGAATTATCACAATAAATTTTCAGCGGCTTTTCAATATTGTCGACCAATCCAAGCCCTGAAATAAAGTTCCGTAGCCATTTAGCCTGAATCGTGGCTTCAAAGCATGCCACAAATTCAGCTTCCATAGTGGACGCAGCTATTACAGTCTCCTTTGCACTTTTCCATGATATAGCTCCTTCAGCTAAAAAATACAGGTAACCACATGTAGACTTTCTTGTGTCTACGCATCCTGCAAAATCCGAATCTGTGTATCCAATAACTTCAAGGTTGCTAGACCTTCTATAAGTAAGCATGTGACCTTTAGTTCCTTGCAAATATCTCATAACTTTCTTTGCAGCTTTCCAATGATCCATACCGGGATTACTTTGGTATCTACCCAACATCCCAACTGCAAAGCTAATATCTGGTCTCGTACAAGTCTGAGCATA